ATGTTACTTCTTCCCCTAGGATAAGGTATCGAAGTTCTCTTTCCGTGTAGTCACTAAAGGTACTTGATCTGTTCTTGATCCTGGGACCTCGGCTGTGTTGCAGCTAAATATGAAGATCCTTTCACTACAAATTAAGGCCAAGTCAACTCCTCCATCTTGATTTCAATTAAAGGTTATTTATGAGAGTTTAGAATAGGAACAGTACACACATCATTAACATATTTCCAGCCTTTCCCATGACTTTGCAGTTGATTAGCAAGGAAAGGCTTTCCTAGCTAGCCCCTGTGCAACTCCTGACTAAACCCTTTCCAGACAAATTGCCTTGTTATTTTTGCTAAGGAATGCCAGGTAGGGGGAGGCCCAAAAAAGATATAAGAAAGGCTTTGAAAATAGACCTAGTCCAGTCATGTTCCTTACGAGTCTTGGGGTAAAGGAAGTTAAATTTGAAGTTTATTTTCATTGTACTGAAATACATAAAACACTGGATTTTGGAAACATTTTGTGTAAAATAGAAAATATATTACAGAAGGGTTCTGGCTCCACTTAGACCATGATGTGGTTGCTTCTTTTGTTTAAAAATTGTGTATATTAACATGACATAAGAAAAGACATTCTCTATTAGTAACATATTGCAGACTGACCAATTTTCCACAGAAACTTTCTGTCCTAGTTCTAAAAATTCAATAATGTAATCTGTCTGGGGAAAAGGGAAGGAGATGTGTGTTTTGCCCTGAGGGACACTCTGTCTCATTCTTTTTCCCCTTAATAAACACAGAAGGTAGTGTACTACAGGAACTAGATTAGTTCAGGGAAGGAATGGCTAGATAGGGTTGGTTTCTGTCCTGGTCCACTCTCCCCTTTTTGGGACTCACAAGATAACCAGATCACAGATTTGTTTGTTGTTACTCCCCTTTAATCTGCAGAAGATCTTGTAGATCTTGTAATAATACAGCAATCCAGTACCCTTACAAGTTGTAGGAATTCCAAATAAAGGAACTAGAAAACTTACTGAATGTTAAAAATGGCTTTTTAATTTTTCTCAAAAATTGAAGTAATTTCCCTTATTAAAAAAAAGGATATTTGATTTATAGCCAATTAATGTTTTGTGGCCACAGTTCCTTACTGAAGTGAGAAATAAAATTGTGTTTAAAATGGTAAGTGAAGTAAGAAAATAAGTGCTTAGAGATGTACTTATTTTTTAAAAGTAGTTTTTACAATGCTTTTTTAGAAGTATCTGTAGTATAAAAATAATTAGAAGTTATTATAATAATCTTTCACTCATTAGCTGTAAGCTTATTACGTGCTACTTACAGATGTCTGCGTACTCTATTTATAGGATTCCTCCTGAAGAATAAGCATCTAGCTAAACATTAATAGATACAACACAAACACTTCTATGTTTATAATTAACAGCAGCCATAGTATAGATGGGATGTTATGAAATATTAGCTGATATGGCCCTTGTTGTGCCACAGTACTGGCTAATGTAAACAGAGCTGCTGTGTATCATACACTAGAGAGACCATTTTGTTGGTCAGCTAATACTTCTGCTTGGTTTTCTCTGTAAATGAACTTCCAAATAATTAGGTCTGGCATGTAAGCCTGTTTTTAAAGGGGGGGGCAGAGGGGAAAGCTAAATCACTAGAAATAAAAAAAAAAACCCCTCAACTCCAAATATACTGTGTTTGGTATTGGTTTTTCATTAATTTCTGTATACTCTAGAAAATTCAGGATATTACATTGATGTTGGTAAGATTTTCCGCAGTAGAAATCATAGGCCTTTTTTCTCTTGATACTTGATATCTTGATACTGTTGATAGGGTTTTTACAGGGATTTGTATATGAAGATTCCTTCTCAAAATATTCTGCACAGCATTTTCCTACTTACCTTCTACAACTAGTATGTTGAAAAATCTGTAAATTATGCTCAGTCAAAAAGCAAATGCACTTCAATTACAAGAAGAGTGAACAAAAATGCATTAATAACTTCAGTCTGTGGGACAGAATTTGAGAAAGAAGCCATGGACTTGAGACGTGCATCTAGTTTTCTTGAATTTGTGAGAGAAATCTTTATAATGAAAAGTAACATATTGGTTCAAATAGATTTGTATATGGTAAATAGAGTGGAGAAGTTTAAAGGGTGGTTCTGATCACCAGTATTTTGTTTCAGGGGCAAGAACTGTAGAGGAAGGAATGTTGCCCGTTGAGCAAGCAGCAACCCAGGAATGCTGTTACTGGCAACGTAATCGTGCGTTCCAAGAGGAAATTTTAACGTTGTATTTGTAAATAATGAATGTGGTTATTTCTACTGATGCAAATGACAACCCTTTTATTTTTACAACTGTTTTTGAGATTGCCTTGATATAATAACATCTATTTTTGTGAAATAAATTAATTTTTTAAGTACCTTGAGCTGCAAGTATTAATTTCAGCTGTCATTTTTTTCCAAGGATTTTAAATGGTGTACTTTCACAGCTGGCTTCTAATTAAGAGTACCATGGTATTACCTTGTTAACAACTTCTCTTTGGGAATATTTTCCCTCTTTTTGGTATGTTTGTTTTTTTGGTACACATATAATGTTGCAGACACAACATATTAAAATTGATGTTTTTGTAAGATTTTATAGGACACTGATTTGATCATAGACACTGGTAAAACCTTTTTGCTTTACTCCAAGCAGTATTTTTCAGATGAAAAGGAGTGTGGGGCAGGACCATAAAGCTTGAAGTTTTGTTTTTTTTCCCCAAACCAAAATTCTTGCAAAAATTACTGTTGATTAAAATTACTTAACTATGCATTCTAATACAGGTTTACTTAGTTTTCTAAAAGAACTACACAGTTTAGCTAGTACAAATGGCTGGTGGTCCCAGTTTCTAACACTTCTATGTTTATGTAGGTGTCAGAAACTGCAAATATAGTTATGAGGCCTAAATATGAGTCTGGTTATTTAATTATGATTTACATGTGATAAGACATGTGATTCACACACCAGAAAATGAAGTTAGTAAAGTTACTTGACATAAAGCAGTGGAACAGAATTGAATGTATTACAGTTTAAAGATTACACCTAAGTTAAGTGGTTTATGTATTACAAGTGTGTCTCGGCCAACAAACCTACCTGTTCTATTTCAGCAGCTCTGCAGGTGGGAAGGTATTCAACTCCTTGGGTAGTAGGTAGGTCTTTCACTGTTTATGCAAACATGTTCCACAAATGCAGCTGTTCTACTTTAAGTAGAAGTGCCAGGCAGGCACACACTTTGCAATGCACTCATCTGAAGTATTTCACTGTTTCAGATTATTTATTTTGCTATTATGAAAATCATGATGTAGCAACAAAATACTGTTGACTTACAGAAGTAAAAATATTGTGTGCTTTAAATAAATCTGTTTCTCTGCATGATAGTAGAAATCAGTTGACCGGTGTAATAATTGAAAAACAGTAAACTGCTATGATTTTTTCCTTTTTTTAGGCAGATCAGTTTACCTGCAGGCTAGCAATCTATGCATCAAATTTCAGACAATTTTTTAAAGCAAAGGAGCATATAAGCCCTTCAAACTAGAATTTCAAGTGGAAAATACAAGCAATCTCTGATTCCAGTTGCATCACAACGCTAGTGGAATTCCACTAATATAGTGTTGCATAAGGCCTCGCTTGCTCCTCCTACCTGTGTACTAAATATAAATGTGCATGAGCAGCAAAAGCAATTAGTCTAATATCTGAATCAGCTAAATAGCATTTGCACTAAAACTGTGTACCTGGATTCTAATTTCTTTGATAAAACTGTGGGTCAAACCTGATAAATAAGTAGATCGTAATTACATTTTCTCTTTAACTTTAGATACTGTCTTGCTATTTTGTTACTTCCTGTGAAGATAATTATTCCACTTGTTACACAGTCCAAATTAATGTGTTTGTTTTGGAAAGGAGGGGGCAGTTTCTTTTTTTCTAGGATGAATTAACTGCTTCTGTACAGTCTTTTCTTGAGTTACTACCCAATTTACACCTATGGAAATACTGGGACACAGTTTACTCTTCTGAACAACATTGCATTAACATGGGGTTATTGCATCTTGGAAAACACTTTTCTGTGTATAGTGGCACTGGAATTAGCTGAATGGTGTTCAGAATGCTAATTGCTTATTAAGGTGATTGTTTTTCTGTCACTCAGGATGGCTTATGAATTTCACAAGAGACTGATTTTCTTTCTGGATGTAGTATGCTTACAGTTACTGTATGTTAAATGTGAATTACATCTAATTGCCAGCCCAAATGTCCCTCTTTCATTTGGAGTTTATATGCAAAGTTGGTGGAATATTTCTGCAAAACTAAAATTGAGTCAGACGTGATACTAGTTTTGATTTTGTTTTTTTATAATATTTTGGTTTCCAAATTCCCATAGACATCAACACTTCACACTACAGACTGAGGGTAATTGTGGCAAGGCTTTTCCTGCCAATAATAGGCAAACTAGTTATTTCACTACTAAAAAATACCATGTAGCTTGAAAATGTCTCATTTTAAAGATTAATCAAGTTTTGTATTAAGTATCCATGTTGATAATGCAGGTTATAAACTCATGCAGGAGCATCTGCTTCTGGTTTTGCCTAGTTGGAGATTATCCCTTAATCATGCAGGGTGCAGGTGTGCATTTTCAGATTTGTTGACTCAGGAAAGCTGGAGATAGCATTAAAGGCCAGTGACATTATACTGTAGCTACATTTAGGTTGTTGGTCCTCTGAACAAGAACTCTTGCTTGAACCACTCAGTGAAAAGAATGGCAAGAAGAAATGTTCTTATTACAGGTTGCTCCTCAGGAATTGGACTGGCATTAGCTGTAAAAATGGCAAAAGATGAGCAGAAAAGATTTAAAGGTAACTATATTTTATCTTTATAACAAGACTTTTCAAGGTAATAATGTTTTTTTTCTCTGTGATTTAACAGGTGATTGTAGTCAGTTTGGTGACTAGTTTCATGTTAGTTTTCCCCCTCTTACTGTCAAGAAGATAAAACGGAGTGAAAATATACTACTTTTTGTAAACCAAGTGTATTTCTGTACCTGGATCAAACCTGAACAGCTACTTGAGCTAAATAATTTACCAAAAAAACCCTAACAGTACAAAAACAAATAGCTGAAAATGTCTGTATACTACCTTGGATGTACATTCACAGTTGTTCTGGTACTAAACATGTTGACGGTTTAAAAACAAACAAGGATATCTGGAATCCCAAATTAGGTTTTAGGTACCTAGAAAAGATTCACCAGCATAACTTGCTACCCATTATTTAAAGATTTGGCGGTAATACCTTCATATGCTGCATGTTTTTCATTGTCCATAGCAGGTTAATTCTCCTTTTGAACTTCTTGAAGATTTCAGAACCAGACTGTGGGAAATCATTGACAATATATGTTGAAAACTGGTTATTTCTACTGTAAGCTTTTATCTGACTTCTGTCACTGGTATTTAAGATACAGATGTAAAATCGATATTCTTGAATACTTCTCAGCAAGACTGCCACAGACAGGTTTTACTTCTGATAACTGTTGCTTTTGGTGTGTTGCAGTGTATGCCACCATGCGGAATCTGGCCAAGAAAGAGCCACTTGAGGAAGCTGTAGGTCACAGGCTAGGCAAAACCCTTGAAATCAAACAACTGGATGTCTGTGATGAACAGTCTATTAAAACTTGTGTGAATAGTATCCCTGACAGAAGGATTGATGTCCTAGGCAAGTATAGACGTGTATGCTATGAAAATAAATTGGTTTTCTATTTAACATCACCTCAAATACCCTGGAGAAGTGTCATTATTGTATTTTTAAGTTACCAAAGTAATAATAATTAAATTGTGTATTCTGTTGAAGATTCTTAAGACTTCATGCAGACATGAGCTTGTTTTCCCTGCTTAAAAAAGAAAAACTGCATCACAGAGGTATCTTGGATAACATGGCACATTTTTTACTCAGTGTGAGAAGGTAACTTTTGCCTAAATTGGCATCTTCATGTGCAAAACGTTCTGCCTTATCAAAGACACATGGCCCTATTTACAATGAAGGCAGAAGCTCTGTACTAAGCAAGCAGCAGCAATTGGGAATTAGCAAGTAAAAGAACAAATGCAAGGAAAGTAGGGGCACTGCCTTTTTCTATTGAGAATCGTAATTGTACCTTATGAATCATTAAACAACAAGTGTGTTAAGCCTGTTTTGCTAAAAATAAATATTTATATCTTACTAAGATGAAAATGGATTACACCATCAATTATTAAATCGTCTCTAATAGAAAATTACAGATATGCCTTTATTTTGATTAATTAGTAAAGCGCTGCTTAATAAGCTGCTTCTGCAAATCATATTATACTCTAATTTGACACACTAGGTACAGTGTAGAATGCCAGTTCTCAGTCATTCTCCACTTATAAAGATACAGGAGGCAAATAAAAACCAGTGGAAGTGTGTGTGTTGTGGTTTGTTTGGTTTTGGTGTTTTGTTTTGTTTTCCCTGAATATGTGAATGTTAACAGCAAAAAGCAGACCAAAATATGGTCTGGTCTGTCACCTTTTGGAATGAATTGAAGACTTCTGTTCTTTCATAAGAGTTTTGACTCTAGTCTCCAATTTTTAATAGTGAATTATAAATAAGTAGAGATAATTCTTGGCTCATTGTCCTGTAATACTTTTATAATTTAAAGATAAAAAGGACTAATCAGAAATAAATCACTTAAAATGCAAAATACCAGATAATTTCAATTGGATTAAAAGCATAACTAAAAAAACAAACATAGAAATGTCAACTGTATTTGCAAAGCTTTAGTGACAGAGTAACACCTTATAATCCTTTCTTTCAGGATTATTGAAGGATAATTTAATCCTTAACCCTCATTTTACTTTCACATGCTTTCCAGTAAAGATTACAAGTTAATGTTTGTGGAGGTTCTTGCTCATGGTTGTTTTCCATTTTGTGCAGTTAGCAATGCTGGAATGGGACTCATTGGACCTATTGAATGTCAGACCATAGATGAAATGAAAACTGTGATGGATACCAACTTCTTTGGACTGGTTCGCCTCCTGAAGGAGATCTTGCCTGACATGAAGAGGAGAAAGAGCGGGCATATAGTTATAATAAGCAGTGTTATGGGAATACAAGGCAAAGCTGTTTTTGTGGTGGTTTTTTTGGTTTTGCTTGTTTGAACTACAAGTTCAGTATTCAAAATCTAAAGCTTACTTCTTTTTATCAGGAAAAAATAAGTGTTTTACTACACAATTACTTAGAAGATATTTTAACAACAAAACCTGCAGAGTGTTTTTGTTTCAGTTTTAACTCAAACTAGCTATTTTGATCTATTTAAAAATAGATAGTTATTTTTATTATCCAGAAAACAGGGTGTAGCATTTACTTTCTCTTTCCTGTTGGAAAAGACTGTGCCAATAGGCAAACTTGCTTACTTCCCTCTGCACAATAATAATGATGGAGTAAAATCCAATCATGTCCTGGACAATTGTACCACCTTTTTCAAAAAGTTCTTCTCTCATAAAACTCCACAGAGTCTAATTTTAGTGACAGATCAGAATGCTCCTACTCTGGTGTTACATCTGGCCTAGCTGTATTTCTGTCAATTCTTACAACAATGGTGTTGATTTTACCTGGATTATTCTGGTGAGCAAGGATCCCAAGTCAAATTCCAAGAGTTGTTACTGTTTAATACAATACTTACCATCCACCTAAATGGATTGATGTAGTATTTTTTCTAAACCGCTCAGATGCAAGCTGGATTTCTTGCATAATTGTATCTCTTGCTTGCACTCAGCTTCCATGTTCATCTATAGCCCATTAAAGTCTTGCTGGGAAATAATGTAGTACAGACACTTTAATATCTTAGACTACAAAATATTTAATGTAGTTCAAAGAAATCACAGCATCAGGTAGGAGGAGGAAAAGTATTAGTCAAGCATCCTTTCACAGAACAAGCAATTTTGAGAACATAAATTAAAAAAAATAATACCAGTATTTAGACTCAGTTTACACAAGGATTTTTCTAATGTTTTCCCCGCAAGACTGCAGGTTTTTTTTTTAAATACGAGTTTTTAAAACTAAGCTATTAGTACATTGAATGCAATAACATTCTCAGGATGTCTTTTGGTTGTTTTTTTTATACCATCAGGTATCTTATTTAATGATGTTTATGCTGCATCTAAGTTTGCGGTGGAAGGATTCTGTGAAAGTTTAGCTATACAAGCTCTCAAGTTCAAACTGCAGTAAGTATTGATCCATGGTGGAATATTATATTTTAGATAGTTTAAAATATATTAGGGCTAGCAAACACATTTTTAAAGCCTGCTGCTATCTAGGAGAAACAAATTGAGGAACCATGGAAAATGTACATCACAAAAGGCATAGAAATGTCTACATAAGCAAATAGATTTAGATGCTCAAATAAACATATTAACTTGGACAGCTAAAGGCTGTTTAGCTTTGGATAAAATACAATTAATATAACTTCTGGAAAAATGGTCTTGCATAAAATATCATAGGAATAAAGTTATAAGATCAACTTATAATATTTTCCTGTAGAAAGGATAACATACTTCATAGGGAATTCACAGATAAAAAAGTTCAGGGGCTCATCAGACAGAGAGAGCAAGTGGAAATCCATCAGAATGGAACACAGGTCAAAAGACACCTATAATGACAGGAGGTAGGAGAAAAGTGAGTAGTAGTAGTAGAAAAGTAGTAGTAGTAGAAAAGACTGTAGTGTACTATTTCTAGAAGTTTTAAGACAGTATTTAAGAGAATGGCCCTGTTCATTGCTTATGGTACTTTGGAGTTTGATTTGTCACATATTCACATTCATGTAATTCTGTTACTATTGTTTGTGTGAAGCCCAACCATTGTTAAATATCCATTGCATCTCTGTGTGCCGAAGCATTTGGCCCTTAAGCTAAGGAAGAAGAGACAGCTGCTCTCATGGGGTTTCAGAGACAAAGCAGCAACCAAACTATGATTATGCATACCACTTTGAAAAGTTTGGAGAGATTTAAAATAAATATATTCTAATGATATACAGGATATATCAGAATTCATAATAAGGTTTCAAGAGTATAAGATACAGCAAAAAGGAGGTTAAAAAAAGTAAGTAAATTGGGAAAAGTTCAAGGTCCAGTGTGATGAGTGATGCAAGAGAAAAGGCTTTATTTCCAGTAGCCGCGGGAATTCTGCTGTCAAGGTCAATAGCTTGATTTAGCTCTAAAGAGGGGCCTGGTAAGAACTCAAGTCTTGGAAGAGGTCCTATCCTAAAGAATGTTTTGATAAACATAGTAGTGGAGAGAAATTACTGTCTGAGAAGAGAGCTAGGAAAGAACTGAGCAGTGATTTGGGAAAGCTATAACAATCTTTTCCAGGAAGTAGTACATTTTGTTAACATCCTTTAATTATTTTTCTTAATATTTGATATGTTCTTGTGGATAAATCAACCTTAGACTCTGCAACTATGACACAGCAGGAAACAACTGCACTCACTTCTGCCATTAATTAACAGCACTTCCCTGAAATTTAAGCTCCACAGATTTCTACTGCTACATGTGGATGGGTCGGAGCATGAGAGCAGCAATGCAGTATGGTTTGCCTTTACAGAATGTACAGTTTAATATTGTTTGGTAACACATACAGCACAATTCTTCAATATTATTTTTTGAGAAGGATAGGGAGGTGTATCTCCCAGGGAGGCCAGTCAATAACCAGTATATCTTTGCTTTTTGCACAGGTTAAGTTTGATTGAACCAGGCCCAGTGGTTACAGAGTTTGAAAGAAAAGTGTTTGAAGATGGAATGAAAATGGATCTTTCAGCTGCAGATGAAGAAACAGCTGAGATGTTTACTAATATTTACCTTAAAAATTACAAACAGATTTTTCAGAGCCTGGGACAAAGTGCTGAAGATGTTGCAGAGGTAACTCATCAACAACCCTCCATCTTCTTTTTTGTTGATTTTTTTTTTAATAATTTACAAATTAATTGTAATTAATTGGTTGGTGGGGTTTTTTGGTAGAAGCATTAGATTTAATTAAATGTAATTTACACAATTTTAAATTACGTTTGAAAACTCGAGAATCTACAGATTTAAAGGAAACCCTTTAGAATATTGAAAGAGGTTCATTTTGAAGTAGTGAAGACAACTAAGAATTTAAGTTTAAATGCCACTGAGGTATTACAATTATAGAATGTTAGGGGTTGGAGGGGACCTCTAGAGATCATTTAGTCCAATCCCCCTGCCAGAGCAGGTTGCATAGGATCACATCCAGGCATGTTTTGCATATCTCCAGAGAAGGAGACTCCACAAGCTCTCTGGGCAGCCTGTTCCAGTGCTCTCTTACCCCCAAAAGTAAACAAGTTTTTCCTCATGCTCAGATGGAACCTCCTGTGTTACAGTTTGTGCTTGTTTTCTCTTGTCCTGTGGCTGGGCACCAGTAGCAAGAGTCTGATGACATCTTTTTCACACCTGGCTTTTAGATATGTTTAAGCACTGATGAGATTGCCCCTCAGTCTTCTGTGCAGGCTAAACAGACCTGTGTTCCTCAGCTTTTCCTCATAAGAGAGATGCTCCAGTCCCCTAGTCATCCTTGTAGCCCTCCTCTTTGTTGTAGAAGGGAGGCCAGAGCTGCACACAGTACTCCAGATGTGGCCTCACTAAGGCAGAGAGGGAGGATAACCTCCTTGATCTGCTGAACACACTCTTCTTAATGCACCCCAGGATGCCATTGCCCTTCTTGGCCACAAGGACACGTTGCCGGCTCATTATTAACTTTTTATCCACCACGACCCTGAAGTCTTTTTTTGCAGAGCAGCTTTCCAGCTGGTCAGTCCCTAATCTGTACTGCTGCATGGTGTTATTCCTTCCCAGGTGCAGGACCCTGCACTTGCCTGTGTTGAACTTCATTAGGTTCCTCTCTGCCCAACTCTGTCGGTTGTCCAGGTCTTGCTGAATGGCAGCACAGCCTTCTGGTGTATCAGCCACTCCTCCCAGCTTTGTATGATCAGCAGGGGGTACACTCTGCCATTCAGCCAGTTCTCCTCACTGCATGTACCATTATACATCATCTGGTGAAGTCTGAACATTCTGCAGTGTTACCATAGACCTACACAAGGTTCCCACCATTGGTCAGAGCTGCTCTCTTCACCTTCCCCTGTTAATGTGAAGTTGGTTCAGCTACCCCAGACCACCAAGGCACAATAGGAGATACATGGACGTAGTTTTTGGTGCTTGGGGCTTCCTGCAGAAAGACAAGTTTAGGCAAGCTGTGGAAGGGGACTGTTATTTCAGGTGGTTACTGCAAAGGAATAGCTGCAGTGTCCACCGTTCCAATCATTTCCCTGTGAACTGTAAAAGAAAGGTTCTACCTATTGTGGGTATATAGGTGTAATATTGGAGGATGTTCAGGATACTTAACTGTAAGGTGCTATCACCATGGTATAGATAAACAGAAACAGGAGTAAGAATAAATAAGTACTACCTCTTATGGCCTTAAAAATGTTTTAAGAAAAAATTCTAATTAAATTCTAATAAAACTCCATACTGGATTTTACATCACTTTAGCACTTTATTTTTCCATTTTTCTTCTACTAAGTTTAAAAGTAGGGTTTTACTTTACTTTTTTTGGTAAAGGTTCTTTAACAATTCTGTTCCTCATTCTTGACAGCATACAGTCAAGATAATTCTTGCAGAAAACCCACCTTTTCGCCATCAGACCAACACCTTGTATACTCCAATGACAACTTTGAAATATGCAGATCCAAATGGAGATCTACCTATTGATACATTCTACAAAATGGTTTTTCATCATGACAAAATCTTCAGTGCAAGTCTTAACTTTATCAAATTGCTAAGGTGGAGAAGTAGAAAGAGCTTTGACCTAGGAAAACCTTCACAATAAGTTTGAGATTTTCCAGTGCAAATTGGAATTACTTGTTGTAGCTACTGATAACACAGTATGTTGATATTCAAATGCCAAAGATGTTTGTTTGAGCTTAGCTAAGATATTCAGCTCAATGCATTTACCTTGAACTTCACAGTTTGCAGAACCTTGAAACTGAAATCCTCGAACTATAGGTTTATTCTATTTAGTGTTTGCTTTTTACAGAGAGGTTTTCATAGGAGCATGAACATTGACTGATAATTGTTTATTCAATATTAACCTGATCCTCTTCACTTGTTAGAATATAACACATACTGAGATGTGTACTGTATGTAGATTCTTAGTATGATAATTTTTTGCTTATTAGAATAGAACAGAATTAGAATAGAACAGAATTAGAATAGTAGTTCCTCAATCACAATAGCATTCTTAGTGTCAGAAATCAGGTCTGTTTACAAGTAACAGAAGAGAAAGTCTCATCAATCTTAAAACATTACAACTAGAATATTAATTATTTGTATGTATTCTAATATTCTGAATGCTTCCTTTATATGCAATGGTTACTGGCATATTACACATAGTGGATAATAAAATGTTCCTTAAAAGCATCTTAAAATAACTCCTTACTGTCTGGGTACTATTTTTTAAAAAAATAACATTTTATCAGTAAGAAGTAATATAAATCCATTGTATGCCTTTAGTGCTTTGAGTGGCTGAAGCTGAGCCACAGGCTCTCCTTTTCCAAGCTATCCTATTAAACCAAAATTCTAGCATGAGGAGGTCTTTTCCCTCTCTGTTTCTCACCCTAGTCCTACAGCTCAGATGAGGCTAAGCAGGGGCCTGGGTGTAAGTATTGTTCCTCCAGGGCAGTCTTGTTCTCCGACTTCCAGCTTGGCCTCAGTGCTGCCCCACGGAAGCCTGCAGCTCCTTGGGCCTTCAGGCTGCAGTGCCTCAGCACATTCCAGCAGCAGTCCTTGTTTCACTCAGAGCCCAGCTGGAGCTCACTGGGGTTACAAGCACTGACTTTCTCTTCCCTTCAGTACTTTCTCACCAAGCCTAAATCTTAACTCCCTGCTGGGACTTGCAGGGGCCCTGCCCTGCTCCTACCCAAAGGCTGGCAGTAACCTGCCTGCCTGGGCAGCTCCTGCAGGTATCAAGCACTTCAGGAAACGCTGGGCTCGTTTTGCTGTCATGACCTTTCCGGGGAGGTACGGAGGTGTGTAGGGACGTCCCTAGGGCCGCAGGGGAGTGCTTGGAGGGCAGGGCCCCCAGCCGCCCCTGTGCACCGCTGGAGGTGTGTGTTCCTCTGGCAACTTGCGCTGCTTCCTCCAGGACACCGGGCTCGTGCTGCACCAGCACCGCTGTGCGGAGGGGCGGGAGCAGCAGCGGCGCTGCACGGCGGGGAGAAGCCCTGGGAGGAGACGCCGGGCCCAGCCCCCCGTTCCCAGCCCCTGCGGAGCTCCCAGCCCCCATTC